ATATGTCCAATATACTTGACTTCTGTTAGCCTAAGTTTCATTTTGCTCTTGTTCAGCTTCAGATTTACTTTCTTTGCTCTTTCAAGGAAACTGGTCAATTTGGTATCATGGTCTACAATCGCCTCATCCATGGTTTCTCCACAGCCATATATTAAGAAGTAGTCTGCCACAACTTGTACTCCTTTTAATCATTCGATTAATTAATGCTGCCTTCTTTGGAATTATTCTGGAGCTGTATTAATTCCAAACGGAAATCTTAACCATTTGTACCTTCCAAATGGAGTAGCAAATGTTGTTAACTCACTACTTGCTCCATCTAACTTCACCTGCCAAAAACCATCCTTGGCATCCAGTACGGAGAAAACCTTTGCATTTGTTAGTTCTGGCAAAATTCCTTCAACTGTGAGCATAGGGTATTGTGGACGTTTTAAGGCCATGTCTAAATCACGTGGATCTAAACAGATTCGTAACTTGCCTGGTTTTCTCACGACCACCATATTGCTGATCCAGTCTGTAGGTGTAGTGACTTTTTCTATCACCTTCTTGGCCTCTAATTTTTGCAGCTTCTGTTTTACATCTTCTTTTATTGCAACTGCAATTTTCCTGGCTGGATGCTTGGTTTGTGTGATATTTCTGTCAATTTCAATGTGATACTTTCCCGGTAGTTCTCCAAGACCTTCGAAAACTTCAGGCTATTGTTTTAGTATTTTCTTTTCCAGTTTTTGACTGCTATCTTTCTTTTGAATCTGATTAATTTGCTTTGCTACTTGTATCAAACCCATTTTTATTGATGTAGAGCTTGATAACAGTGGTGCTTGTGTGGTGTCAATAATCTTAAAGGCTACTTCTGACTTCTGCTTATCATACCGGCAGGTTATGTTAATCTCTCCTTTTACTGCAACTGCTTCATCGTTATACATCTTCAGTGTTGTTGATGAACGTCTCATATTCGGCTTGTCTGTACCTTCCAGTGTTTGTAGGTCTCGATATGACATCACGTTGCATGAAGCACCTGTGTCTATTTGACATTTTACCGCCTTGACCTCTCCACTGGTGTTTTGTAAGTGCAGTGATACCATTAGTTTGCCTTTATTATTATCACATAGCTCCAACTGTTTCAACATTGAAGGCTGAGTCATCTGAATCAGTGTCTTCTACTCTGTTGACAACTGCTTTTCTTTGTTTTGTTCTTCACATCTCTTTGGAGTGATTCTGTAGACCACATTTCCACACTTTTTTCCGTAGGCTGGGCATTTTTCTTTCTTAAATTCGTGAACTTTCCCGCAATATCGACATGTACCTGACCGTGTGCTGTTACTCTTTGTTGTAGTGCTTTGCCATGTTTTTTCTTTGTTGTCGGTTTGTCTGACTTTTTTGTACTCCTTTGACTCTTTGCGTCGTTGTTTCACTGACTTTAAGCAATTCAATTGCCCTTTCCAGGTTGCATTCTTTCTTGCTGAACAATCTGGCTCTAGCTGTTTTGTCCCATGCACCTAACACTAAACGATCCCTTATCATTTCATCGTTGAGTGCTTCAAATTTACATGGTTCTGCCAACTGTTTCAGTCTATGTACATATTGACTAATGTTTTCTTTTAGTTGTTGTTCAGCACCATGAAATATAAATCTGTCGTACAAAACGTTTCAAATTGGTGTGAAGTGAGCTTGCAGCTTGGATAAAATTTCCTTTGGATCTTTTAATTGTGCTTCTGTTAATTCTAATTTTAACAATCGCTCTTTACAGTCAGGTCCCATTATTGACTTTAATGTTGCTGCCTGAACTGTTTTGTCCTTAGTGCTTAATCCTGTTGCAATTAAATAATCTTCCCAATTTTGTTTAAAAAAAAACTTTCCATTGTTTTTCGTTATCATCCTTGACTATCATTGGTGGAGGTGGTGGTATTTGGTAAGTTGCCATCATCCTTCCACTAGCCTATATGCTGTGCATGAATTAATGGTGACGAATTGTACCGTACACTTTGTGTAGGCCTATCCTATCCTCGTCGGTAAACAACAATTGTACTCACGCGGGTGTCAGCGTACCACCTACTTCTACTCGGTTGAGTAGGGTCTCCTGACCATTCAATGGTAGCACCAGCGCCTGAAAACTTTGATTCCTTGTCAACTGTGTTGATTTGTGAGATTCTACGTCGTGGTAGGTTCTTCTTTGTAAATTCATCTAATCCATTTGATGTAATTTACCACTTCTGACCCCATGTTGTTTGTTACAATAAAAAGTATAATGAAAGACACTAAAACCAGATTGTAATAACTCAATGGCCGTCTGCTTGACAACCGATTTATTCACAACTCAACGCTAAACAGCGCCACGCGGCGGCTGGATGTGACAACAGGGAATAAGTTATGTACGTCATACAACATCAAGCTAGGTTGTTCCGTTTTTTAACTGTAGAACTAGGCTAGTTCTGACAATTAATCAAGATAAAAAAGAAGTAATTTGAAAGAAAAAGATTAAAGGGGAGTAAAGTGAAACAGGCGGTAATCTACCATGCTTACACGAGCCGACGTTCTGTATGCTTACCGCCACTACTGTCAACACCACTAGGCCTAAGCCTATAATCAGTCGTCGCCGTAGCAGTAAGGAGTATGATGTGCTTGTATCCAGAACAT